TCTTGAACTCCTGACCTCAGGTGATCAACCCACCTCGGCCTCCCAAAGTGCTAGGATTACAGGCGTGAGCCACGGCGCCTGGCCCTTTTTTTTTTTTTTTTTTTGGTATCATTTTAACTGAGAAAAGAATACACTGTAAATTATTCTTTAAGGAAAAGAGAGTGTCTTGGAATCAAACCAATGGCAGAGATTCAGATACAACTTTGGGCAAATCTCTTAATTCCTTTTGCCTGGGCTTCCTTTTTTAAAGCTAGAGAAAATAACTCCCCTTTCCTGGGTTGCTGTGAGAATTCAATAAGTTATACGTGAAGTTCTCAAAACAGTTTCTGGTATATAGGTGCCATGAAGTGCCATGAAGGTGTTTGTTATTACAAAGTATTTAAAAGGTAATACAAATTATTTTTAAGTAATTGGTTTCTTTGATTAGTCAGCAAATAACTTTCAGAAATAGGAAGTCAGATGCTTGCTCTCATTTATAAGTTGGAGTTAAATAACGTGTACACATGGAAACAGAGTGTGGAATCAGAGACACAGGGGACTCGGAAAGGTTGGGGATGGAAGGGGAATGGGTGATGAGACATTACTCAGTAAAAGTTCTATTTCAGCACTTGACTTAGTAATAATTTGTATTAAGTTGCTTTTTACTTGTGATTAATTTTTTTTTGTGGATCTGTCATTTTTAACCAAAAGCAAAATGCATCCACCCTTATACTATGACAGTTTCCCAAAGTGTGTTCCTTGGTATGCAATTTCAATGGAATGTTAGCATATGTTATGTGCGGAAAAAAAAATGTGTTGTAATTAGTGAGTTTGGGAAGTGCTGAGTTAGACAAATGTAAATAAGGCTTCTTTAGTAAGAATGTCTCTGAGGTTTTCACGCTGTAATGTGCTCCGAGATCTTACAGGTGGTTTTCCACATGTATTTGGAAACAGATTCTTTTATTTACAAAGGATCTTGAGAAATTAATGTTCTATGAAATGCATGTTGGTATTTTACATATACATATTTTAAAAGATGTAGTTGATTGCTGTGAAGAGATTCACTGGCAGGCACAAGAGGCTCAGGAACGCTCAGGAAGAAGGCCAGGAGTTCCAGACTTGGTGGCTCAGCAAGGCTCAGGAAGAAGCATCCCATATTCTAAACATCATCATCATCGTCATAACATAAGCATAAGGCATAACATTTGTGTGGCACTTGAAAAAATGCGTTGTCTCATTTTACCTTTCGAAAAACCAAATGAACGCTGAGCTATTATTTTATGGATGAGGAAACTGAGGTTCAGAGGTGAAGGTGTGGTGACAATCTCAAGGTCACGCAGCTAGTAAAGAGCGACTTGAACCCAGGCAGGTGGCTTGAAATCCCTGCTTTTTCCACTGTACCATACCACAGCCTGTTAGGGTTCCAATTAAACAGCTCCTTCAAGGGAAATGCCAAGGCACCCTACATCTGACCTCAATTAGGAAAGTTGATAGTGGAAGTGCACTTTTGCATGGCATTACATGCCACAAGGCAATCTGG